GCAGCCCGTGCCCTGCACGCGCCCCGGGTGCTCCTGGTCTCCGTGGCCATCTGCGTGCCCCCCTTCTCCAGGAGCCTGCGACTGGAAACTTCTAGGCTTGAGTTTGCCTGGAGGTCTCGCTCTTGGGACCCAACAACGCTTTCACCATGAGCTGTGGGACGCTTAAAATATTCAGGGTTAAGTGTATGACTCGTCTGTGTACAAACATGTAACAGAGAGTTGTGTTGAACAGGGCTTCTTCCCCCCATCTTCGTGTTTTGTGGAAAATTCCCTGGATTTAGCAATAACGCTCTGTGCGGCAGCGTTTCTAAACGCAGGCCCAGCTCCTGCGGCCCTCTTCCCCATCCGTCCTGTCGAAGCATGCGGGACTGAGCCTTCGGCGCCCACGCTGACCCGTTAGGCTCTCGCCTGAACCAAGGGGCTGAATGGTGAGAAGCTGCTGTGCCCGGAGTCGGGCAGCCCGGGTGGGGAGACAGTGAATCCCAGCTGTGAATCCCAGCTCCATTTTTGGACCCTGGGCAGCCCCAGAAAGCGCAGTGGCCAGGCCGGGCGCTGTCTCTTCATTTGCTGTGTGTTCTTGAGAAAACTGGAAGATCCGATCTACTAAGGTCAGCGCAACCAACCGTGTGAAGTTGTGCGGAGAAAGCCAGAACGCAGAGTCTGATCGGGTACAAGCAACGCGCTGAAACAAAGTGTGGCCCTCTTCCCAAAACGGGGATGGAGAGGAAAATGGGCAGGGGATGGCTGATGGCCGTGGCGCGCTGCAGGGCTGTTGGTTGGACCCAGCCAAGACATGCAACGCTTAGCATCATATAATGTTTGCTCAGTTTTAGGGAACAAAATTTACTTGGAAGAAGTGTCTTTATTAAAACTTGGTGGATGGCAGTGCCCATGGGGATTATTGCTCTAGAAGAATTTCATCAACTGCACCAGTAATTTGCTTGGCCTAAGGATCCTTTAGGACAGCTCTGATGCGGCAGTTTGCACCAAAATCCCTCCAGACCTAGTTACTAGGGAAACTCATGCACATTCGTAATACCGTTTTGAAAATACCTTGGGCTTTTTTTTTTTTTTTTTTTGCAAGCGTTTGAGGTGGTATTTGCATGTAAGCCAGGGTGAAACAGGAAGAACGCGGTGCTTTGTGCATCCCTCTGCCTGGCAGCACGAGTTAATGCTGGTACAATTGTTAGGCTAACGTAACCGCTGATAGAAAAATGAATGGGTAAACAGAACTGTTTGATTAAAAAAAGAGATAGAGGGTATAATGCAATTTGTGTGCACTATTTTAAGCAAGGCAAAGTTATTGGTCATGTTACCTCTGCTCAGAAACTAAATCCCGCTTGACCAAATGAGAAGGAGAGCTCTTTTTCCCCTCAGTGCTGTATTTGGTGGAAAGAGGAAGAGCAGGGTCTGTTACCTTTGGGATTCATTGAAATGCTTATGCTGCCTGGGATCAAATTAAATTTGATATAGGGCATGCCGTGCTATATTTTCTGACTTGGGATTTTAACAACTCTTGTCACATACCCAAATTTTATTTATGCAAGTCAGTTCTGTTGTACATACCGAGCGTTGCTCAAAGCTTGACGAAGAGCCGTGTATATTGATTGATGCACAGGGCACTTCTTGTCTGTCACGGAGTTTGAGGACTCTATCTCAGGCTGAAGCAAGAAACTTGTTTCACTTCCAGTAATGTCAGATGTCAGTTTGGGGAGCGAATAAACCAGTCCTGAGAGTCGGTTTATTGCAAAAATCTGCTGGCT